GTGTGAAATTTTACTTAATGCTATTGAGCACTAAATTATGTGGTAGTGAACGGCAGATATTTGCAATAACAAGAGGATAGGCAACATATAAACTGAAGACTTGCAGCTTAGCAGACCTAAAAATAAAGATAGATTTTTAATAAAATACACAAACCTCCATTCAATTTCTCCTGTTCACGGTTTCTGCTTAGGTAGGCTATATGGATCACAAAAGCCGTGGTGAGACGACAGGAGAAGCATGCTATTCCAAAATGGCTAAGCAAGATTGAGTATTCATTGTGAGCAAGGCCGAGCTGCTGGCCAAATTTTGTCAATTCAGTAAGCACACTGGAGACAGCCAGAGAGGCCAGAATGCACGCTATGCAGAAAAGCAGAAGATGAGGCCGGCGCAGGATGACTTGAAACTGCTGAGTCAGTACTCTGGATGCCCGAAACCAATATGCAGGACTACATTTAGCACTACAGCAGGTAATACAAGTAGTGCTGACAGTGGTATTACAGCAATTTAAAAATAATGATCTCTTGACTGATTCTTCTGATCTGTGTTTGGGCGAAGCTGTCTCAGGGTAGTGTGCTTTTTGTGTATCAATAGATTTAAAAGTTGTGTGTGTAGGAAGATCTTTAGCCTTGGAGTCCCCAACTAAATAAATAATTTTAAAAAAATTCCCTTTCGTCTTAACGGCATAGAACAAAGTAGATAAAACCTATGAAGAAGGCTAATTGGTGTCTTAAACAAAAAAGCAAATTTTATAGAGAAATTTTGGAGTTTGCATAATAAATTTTGACATCACTTATATAGCAAAACGGTTGCATTTTTGTAGAAATATGAGGGCGCACTCAGCCTCGAAAGTTGCATATTCTTCATATGTATATGGAGAGTACTAATCGTACCTGGGATGAACGAAATTCTTCCTGAAAGATGGGGAGATTTTGGTATATCGCTAGATCTTATTAATGGGAGGCAGCATTGCTGTATACGTAAAGGATAATTGCTCGGAAGTCTAAGGATAATTAGCATGAACTCAAGCAACTTACATAAAG